AAAAAAAATTCATGATCAAAAATAGGGAAAAGTATAATAATACGTAATCTTTATAAAATTAATTATAAAATACATATATTGAATATTTAAATATAGAAAAGTAATAGATTATTTATAGATATTGTAATCATATTAATTTTGATAACTTTAAGTATATCTTTGTTTGCATATGTAAATGTAGATAAAGATTTAGTAATAAGCTTGCGTGAAAATCACATCGTAAAAAGTGAATTAAAAAAAATCGCAAATTACAAGTTCACTTTATGCTGTTTGTTGTACACACTAGAAACGTGTTGTACACACGTACATACTAGAAAAATATTGAAAAATTGGAATTTTTCATAAAACATCTAGATATCTCCGAATGAATACGAAGCATATATTGTGTGTATCATCCAATAATTAAAAGCAGAACTTTTAATTAATATTTTTAACAACTTTTTACGAAGCAAACGCATATAAATATGTTCGTCACACCTCGAATTTATATAACAGATATGTTTACTGAACAGAGTATTTTTAATTAAATTAATTTTTCTCGGCCATATTTTGTCCCGCGACTATTTTTGCTTGATTTCTGAAGTTTGAAATTTGTCGAAATAAAAAAGTTTAATGTATAATCAATTGTACAGGTGATGACAGCTTAGATTTCTTTTCTTGACGGCATAAACTGTGAGAGGTTGTTTTTATCATTTTTCTATGTTATTAAGATTTTTATGTTTACCATATAGGTGTAGACAAGAAGGTTTAAAAATAATTAGGGTTAAGAGACCAATAAGACAACGAATCTAAGTAAAAGAAATGGCAGCACTAGAACGTGAATCTAAATTTGGCAACGCTGAGGCGTCTCTTTTTTTATCCCTAATCATGAACGTTCTACACAAGAATATTGTATCGCTCATATATTTTAACTATTTTTACAATAATAGTACATTTGAAAATAAGTGAATACATATATTCTTTCGATAGTCTATTATCCTCACATTAACGACTCACAGATGAAATTTTCCACCCGCTTGTAACTTTTTTCTTCATGTTTCGATTAAGTATTTTTTTCCCTTGGGCACATAAACGTAATAAATACTTTGTAAATCATTGTTATTTGTGTCTATATATAACATACAAGAATGTACAATAAATGTAAATGCGTAGTATCACGTTAAACAAATCAAACGATCGCTTTGCTCTTGAAACTACAGTGAATACTTCATGAATTCTGTATATGAAAAGTGCTTTCTACCGAGAACATAGAAGAATATTTTTAGAATACACTTTGTTTGAGAGTCATCGAGTGATATTTTACTTTTTCTGACTTCCTTCTCTTGACATTTCCTCTAGAATTTCTCAGCGTGTGCATTTGTCGCGATTGTTCTCTCAGCTCGAAGAGCACGTATGTTTCTGAAATGTTTTGATCTCAGGATCGTGTCTATTTGCCATTTGACAAACTCAGTTACTATATCAAAAACTTTATTTACGAAGACATGTGCGAAAAAAAGATTGATTGTTTAGATCCATTTTGTAAGAATTCTTTAATCTTTACAGAATATGTAAAAGCTTCTATAGTGATACTAAAATATATGTCATATCTTAAAACAAAAGGTACAATAAAATATAAAGAATATAATAAACTTTGTAAAAAATATTTTATTAAAAAAAAGAACTATCTTTGTAAGATTTTAAAAATAAATCTCCTGTTTAAATGTTAATCTTACTTTTCTCATCATAATTATATATTCTCTAAATTAGTAAATATTGAAACTCTGTATATCTGTCTAATATGTTATCTTATTTTACAATAATTACAAAATACTGTTTTGTCCTTCCAAAATTACAACCATTAACCAACGTTTATGAGTAAATTTGATTTTATTATCTTGTTTTGGGAGAGAACATAGTTCCTGCAGATTGCTATTGGTAGCAAAATATACGATCACGATCCTGATCCTAAAATAGATTTCTCTCAATGTATTTGCTGGAGCACGTGCTTTGCATCGATGTATTTCCGCGTAAATTCGACATACGTCTCCTATGAGATTTCCGGTTTACTTTACTTTTGTCGATATACTGAGAAATTTGCTTTATTTTTTAAAAGTTTCCTTTTATGAGAGCTAAACCTCGAACATCTGCTGACATATTGAAATTGAATTTAGATACATTCCTTCTCCTTTCAGACAACGAGCAAAGAAGAAACATGTTTTATAGTTTAAAACATTCTTTTGTTTTCTTATTCACATACATTTGAGATATTAAATTTTTACTTTTTGAAATGCAAAAAAAATGTTTTCCAGAAATTATATTATAAGTATCATATGTGGTTGAGCGAATTACCAAGCACACATAAGTTACATGTAAAGTACCTGTTTATTGTAATTAATTCCCGTTCAACAATATGATTGTAATATAACACACGTGTTACATTACCATTATGTTGTTGAATAGGAAATTACGAATAGCAGGTACATTAAACTGTTACATTTAACTTGGTGTTTGCTAGAAAATAACCTTCATTTTCACCTTGATTGAGAGCGAAATTAAAGCTGTCGCACATAAAAAACACGTAAATAATAAGCGAATCTGCCAATCGCAGTAGAGAACGTAAGATAATAATGCAAGCAGTAGCAAATATAAAATATTGATTTCATTACTGTCTTAACGCTTAAGCTTTTTTTTGAATACCACAGACTTTAAACTATTTATTAACTGACATATCATATGTATACAAATGAAACACTTGCATAACACGGTTAATGCAAGAAATACAGCCGTCCGTTGGAAAATCGCAGCGCGGGTGCGAGAAGTTTACCTTTCAAACAAGCTTTCAGAGTTCTGTAGAAAATTTTTCTCGCCATCGATGATTCCATTAAGCGAGATAGCTTGTTTTATTGTGACTTTCCGATTTGCAATTTGAGTTTCATGTCTGTGTATGTTCTTGTTTTTGTTCACAAAGCCGACGCTTCAATTCACAGACGAGCTCCTTATCGAAACGTATACAGAAGCGAGATGTAGATGCAACCGAAGAATCGAACTGCTTTTATGTGGGGGGAAGAAGAAACCTGTATGTATACCAGGGTAAGAGAGAAGGAATAAAGTAAAAAGCATCGAAGTTTTGTTCCATTTCAGAGCAGCGTTCCCAGGTGGCTTTGATATCGTAAACGCCTCCGTGTATTCCGTTTTCCCTGGGCTCTTTTGTGCACGTTACTGCACGTTGTCTACCTGACATCCTGGGACATAGATCTTGCTGGACAGCTTTCCGTGTCGGTCGGTGCATTAAATTCGCGACGACTGTCAGATCGATCAATGAGCCTGCATCAGACTGTCGATACCAATTCTCCCTCTAACGAGCGTATCGATGAAACTGCTTTCTACGCTTCCGTTTCTTAACCCGAGCATTATAAGAACGAGGGTGAGATGGACAAAAATAGGTCAAAGAGGAAGGAACTCCTCGCTTTCATCAATATTAATATTCCATTATTTTAACGTGAAAAACTCGCATGTAGCATTGCGAGCTCAAATTACGTTATCTTTCTTTGCATGTGCAAAATTATTTACAAATCCTCTCACTTTATCTCACGTATAGAGCGAAGTAGTCAAGCATGCTTGAAAAAAAGATGCTACCGATGCTGATTTCTCGGTGATTTGCTTTACCGATATAAGGTGAAAATATTATTATTAAATATCTCGTAGGATCGTGCATGTGAAACATAAGCAATTAAGGAAAATAAACGTTTTTAATAGTCTGGTTGGATCTTAGATGTTTGTATACTTTTATGTAAATTTATATTTTATATTACGTATGTAGTCCTTTAAAAGGTAAAAGGTAAATTAGTCCTTAAAAAGATTTTTCAGTTTTGGAACGCAAATTCTACTAAACTACTGCAGAGTAATATCACAAATTAAATTGATTAGCAATTTAACAATTCGATGTTCTTACGTATTTTAGGACGATCTCAATATTGTTGAATAACTATTAAAATCTGTAAATAATTAATTCGTATTGCGAAAACTATTAGAAACTTCAGCCGGGAGTCGATCCCTAGCATTTCGTGCGAGCGTTATGAGCCTTTAGACTACGGAGACCTTAGTAATATTCTTTTAGTAAAAATATTATTATTTTTATATTCCTTTAGATCACAACAATTAGTTAAAATTTTGAGAGAGAGAGAGAGAGAGAGAGAGAGAGAGAGAGAG